TTCTCAAAAAAATAACAGTAGTACAATCACCTCTGGCTTACAAAATTGAAATTCTTTATCTGATACCTCTGACTGACTACTTTTTAGCTGATGTTATTCATAAGAACAGTGCTGTACTGCAGCAGCAATCAGAAAGTTTAAGATTTGCTCTGACACAGCGGAAGAAGCCAGTTACAGTGTAAGCAGGTTATAATTTTAATAGACAGATGAAAGATGAAATGACAGGAAGAGAAAAACATACCATATAAATAAAAACATATACATACGCTATATACATACACAATATGAAATCCAACAGACATCTTTAGCAACAAACTTAGTTCTTTGTTAACTGCCTGTTCTCCCCAATATAATCTGTATCTCTTCTTACTGTAACTAATTCACTCATAAAATAAATAAAATTGGAAGTTACATTTTCTAATTTCTAGCAGATACACAGAGAATGTTCCACTGCATAATGTCTTCAGAATGAATCTTTCATTTTGCCCAGTTCTTACCTTAGCAATTTTTGATGTTACCATCACTTTTTCCTGCTTGACAGGTTTACTTTGTTGCACCACTTGACATATATCCTTAGACTTCTGTACCATTAAAAATTCATGCTTCCTCTACAACAAAATGTAACAATGAATTATATTTCACTTGTTACCTATAAAAGAAGCAGGTACGTGTAAGAACAAACCTTACTTGTAGATTCTCTAAACGAGCTTGTACTTTTCTTGCTTGACCTTCCAACTTCTTGTTCAGCTCAGTCACATCACTTAACTGAAAGAATCAGAAAATATTAAAGTATCTGTAAATTCAAACCTCACTTCTTGACTTAACTATCACACTGAAATAAATTGATGTGGTTGCTGAGCAGCTAAAGTATTTAAGTTCAAGTTTTTTCTTCTGAGCATGTAAAGTAATAGAAAAAAAAATCATCATCTACCTCCTCAACAAATCACAGAATCACAGAATGGTTGAGGCTGGCAGGCACTTCTGGAGGTCACCTGGTCCAACCCCCCAGCTCAAGCAGGGCCACTGGGAGTCGGCTGCCCAGGACCATGCTCAGACAGCTTTTGAATATCTCCAAGGTGGGAGACTCCACCACCTCTCCGGACAACCTGTTCCAGGATAAATAAGACAGCAGTAGCTCTTTGTTGACCTGCAGCCCAACCTCTCAGTTTGCAGGGGAAGAATAAGCACTACAATGCCTCTCTAGATATACAGGCACTACACATTTGATTACTTTCATGAAGAAGTGACATAAAAATGGAGCGTGCATTTCAAGAACGGTCCAATAGTCTTGTTAATGGGGAGGGTGAGTTTTTTTCTCTGCAGAATGAAACAGTTACTGACCATGCTACAGAAACAGTTTGCTCTGTGAGAAAAGATGAGGGAAACTGTAACCTCCACTTAAATATAAGAAACATGCTCTATGCATATAACGATGAACAGCATGATTTTCACGGAAGCTCTCAGTTTGTACAGAAATGCAAAGATTTTATAGTGAGGGGGAAATAAAGAGACAGATGGGTTGCACTAGAACCATCACCATTCTAGGAGTTAAGTCTGATCTTCTCTAAGAGAAAGAACAAGGCTCTGATGTAGATTTTTATTGTACTCAGACTATCAGAACTGTAATTAATTCACTGAATAAACAATGGTCGAATAGTTTAGATAGCAATTTGTTTGTCAGCATTTTAGGTCAGACTTAACAGTCAAGTGAGATGAAAATTCTTACTCTCTGTATTATTATGAACCACTGTCTCAGCTTAAGAACTGAGAAAATACTGCCTTAATTAACATTTGTAAAAATAACTGAAAATACTGAGCAAACGTGAAGTTAGAAATACACATTCCACTTTCTATTCAATAGGATCAGCACAACAATTCAGCACAGGGTGGATTCTTTTATGTTATAAAATACATTCTCTCCATCCACTCTCAATTTGCTTCAGAGGACATGGATTTGTCCTTCCTAACAATTAGCTGTTGCTAGTGGCTCAGAGGAGTAAGTCCAACTTTTTTTATACTGTAAAAGATCAGAGAAGCTAAATTTCAAGTATTAGAAAAAGGTGTGGAAAGTACTTTTAGTCATTCATACAATTCTTGTCTTACAGAAACAAAAAATCAGCAATTTTGCAAACTTAAGGTGTTCAAATATTTAAAATAATTAACTGTAACTTGTAAAATTATTGATAACAGGAAATAACTAGTTTTACCTGTTTTCTTAAAGAGTCATTCATTTCCTTCAAGGTGTCAAATGACGACTTTAGCCTTCTATTTTCTTTAGTTATTTCTCTCAAGGCTTCTGTCAGCTGTTTAACTTCTGCCTCGTGTTGCTATATCAAATTTAAAAACATGACTCACAAGAGACTATCTTAGAAACAATTCTAAGCTAAGTTCCATTTTAATGTTAAAATAATAGGAAAAACTTTCAAAGATCAAGTTTATAATTCCGCATGGCGAAATTTGCACGTTCAACCAGTAGTAAGAAAAACAACATCCACACTGCATATTAAGAAGAATCTATAAAGAAACCAAGAGCAATGTGCACAGCCAATTGCTCTTATTCTTTCCAGATTCTACCTGGAATTTTATCAATATGTACATTTCTCAGACAAGTCAAATGTGGGAAAGGTTTGTGAACTAAAACCAATGACAAAGCTTTTATTTACAGCTTATTCTTCCATATAAGTACAAAAAACAATGTGATTCTGTTTTGCAGCAACTTTTGAAGTTTCAACTAGTTTTTCTGGCTTTGCTCACTGTGAATCATGCAGGGCAAGAAACTAATCCTGTGTCTCTTAGGCTAGTGCCCCAGTTTACAGCACATGCATATGAACTGCTAACTACAACCTGCATATCCACTGCTATTCTTCTCATTCCCCTGAATCTTATTTTAGATTTAATCTTCTCTGGACACCAGTGCACCTGGTGTACCTCAGATTTGATAAAACAGCAAAGTTTTATTTTACTGAAAATATTCCAGCTATATATACTTACTATCCTCTCTTCCTACATGTGCAAATGACAAAAATAAAGCACAGCAGAAATTTAAAGGAAGCAAGCCCTGAAGAGATCCTTCTCTGTTATGGGTCCCTTCCAACTTGAGATATTCTATGATTCTATGATTCTATATCTCTGCTTGGAAGCACAGTAACTTCCATTCCAGCTATACAGAAAAACCATCTACAATTCCTTTTTTCTCAACTGCTGCTCTTCTTCAGTCAATAGGATCAAAACAGCTGTGGGCAGGACATTCTTGTCTAAAGCACCTACCCACACTTGGTTAAGACGACATGAAATGACAGATCTCCTTGTCATACCAATAAACATGCAGACGCTGCCAACATATAATTGAGTGCACCCTATCACATCACATGGAATGTTTCACTTCCATTTTCTACATACACAGTTAAGGCTTTATTTGAAGTTCAATAGCTGCTCTAGGAAGAATCAGTAGAGATTTATTAATCTGAAAGGTGAGTAGAACCAACTCAGTTGCTAAGCTATAAGGATGTAGGTGATGTCTAAGCCATCCACTTCCATAAGCAAATCAGGCAATGTCATCCATACCATAACCAGCTATATCATTTCACTCCTGCCAGATGTTTGCCTAGTCTGTTCTTAAGTTCTCCAATGCTGGAAACACTGCAGCCTTACCAATCTACCTGTCTATGCTTAATTGTTTTTGTTTAGATCTAGTTTTTCCTAATACTTAACCTAATTTTCTCCTCCTCCTCCTCCTCCTACTTCTCCTATCACAGACATGAAAAACTATTAGTTTCTTCCTCCTTGTTGCAGCCTTTTATGTAGCTGAAGCTTGGCACATTCACCCTCTATTCATCCTGTATGTTGAACCCATGCATCCGCTCATCATCCTCTATTTCTGCAGCTGATATTTCTATTCAAGTGCCATACTGTACACTCACACCTGCTGAATAGCATAATGGCTTTTTTCAGACCTACCATATCTTCAATTTGTCAAGATCAATTTTAATCCTAATATGCTTTTTCAGTATGCTTGAAATTCCCCCTCACTTGCTATTTTCTTCAAATTTAATAAATGTGCTCTTTCTCACCATCAAACTTCTTATTGAAAATACTGAATAATACTAGACTGAAAAGATATTCCAGAATCCACTCTGTACGTTCCTTCAACTTCACTTGTGAACTACTGTCTCACTACAACTTTACATCAACTGCATTACATCTATGTTATGCCTTCGTAATATGATTATGAAAATGCCATGCAAACCTGTATAAAAAATTTCTAATTAAGTCCAGACATATATATGACTACTACTCCTCTATTAGCAATGCCTGTTACCTTGCTGTAGTGGAAATGAGACAGACTTGACAATTTTTGATTAACATATGCTAGTAGTTATTTATTGCATTGTTTTCTGCATTGTGCTTCCCATGGTTTGTTCATAGCTTGTTTCAGGATTTATTTATTTATTTATTTATTTAGAGAACTGGCATTAAGCTGATGGCTGTACAAC